CCAATGTCCCACACGGGCTTCTCTGGGCAGCACCTGCCCTTCGTGGGCTTCACGTACACCACGGACAGCTGCCTGTCGGACCGCGGCTGCCTGCGGCAGGCGGCAGACGGCGTGGGCCCCGAGGGGGGGGTGCCCAGGGAGGGGGAGAGCAGCCTGCAGGTGGAGGCCTTCGAGCGCAGGATCAAGAGGCTGGAGCAGGAGAAGCTGGAGCTCAGCCGCAAGCTGCAAGGTGCCGGATCCCGAAACCGCCTCTGCTTTTACTACCCTCCTCAATTAATTATCACAACACAAATGCACAGGCTCAGCCTTTTCACAAAGCACCACAGGATGCTGCTGCGTGATGTGTGTAACTTTACATTAGTAAAGTTAGCCTCAGTAAAATATCCAGCTGTATAAATGGATAACATTGTAAGTCGCTCTGGATAAGAGTGTCTGCTAAATGCCAGTAATGTAATAATGTGTGTAACTTGCCTTCTCTCCCCCCCCCAACACCTCCAGAGTCGACCCAGGCGGTGCAGTCTCTCCATGGCTCAGGCCGGGGGGTGGGAACGGCCAGCAGGGACAAGGAGATGAAGAAGCTGAACGAGGAAATCGAGCGGCTAAAGAAGAAACTGGCAGGTGAGCCAATCGGCTGCATCCTCACCTCCTCCTGCGAGGCTCTTCATGAGATAGATCAAATATGAAATGCGCATAATTCATCTGATTTGGCTTAACAGGTATTATGGTGGATTTTCTGAGTCACTCTGGATAAGAGCGTCTGCTAAATGTCTAAATTTGAATGTAATGTACAGTGAATAGTAAAGTGTCCTTGGTGTTCATTCAGAGTCTTGGCTTGCCGGCTTCAGTAATGGAAAAGAGCCTCTTGATTGATCTGGGAGAGACTCATGCACGATCTTAATCCCGCAGACTCTGACCGGCTAGAACACCAGCTAGAGGAGGCGGTGACTCTTCGGCAGGACTATGAGAGCTCTTCCACCAAACTGAAGGCACTCGACAAGCAGGTCAAAGCACTTAGACAGGAGAAGGAGGAGATCCACAAGGTATCATCACCCCACCACATCATCCCCATGTAAATCTCAGCACTGCCCCAGAGAAACGTGGGTTAGTTTGAAGTTAGAATAACCAATAACATTGAAAATGATGAATTCACGGCTGAAATGACTAACATATGCGGTGTGTTAAACATTCATAAGTCCTGTGAACTTATTGCATTTTAGAGAGCCACTGTTTTAAGGTCCATTTCTCCCTGAACAAGAAGACCCTCGTCGGGTCTGTCTGATATTCTCCTGGGCACTCACTGTGGAATGCAATTGTATTTACTCATTATCGTATGAATACCTTATTGACAGCTGTCCAAATATCTAGATACCATCAGACAAAGTCCTGGTTTGGCTTGAATTTGTTCCTCTTTTCATATTAACTTAGGAGGGGGGGAGTCCTTGCCCTCTGGCTCATTAGAGTGTATCATTTCTGCTGGGAGAAAAAGGGACCCTTTATTAAAAATACATGGCATCATTTCATTAGCCTGAAATGCAGAAGGATTCACCACAGAGACATTACATGTTTAGGTAATTAGATTACTCAAGCTATTTGACCTAAATATCCACTTTAAGCCTTGGTTTATCTAAATGTAGACATGAGGCAGATTCTGGGCAATGGCTCTGTTTGGGGAATAAGGCTTCGTTATGGGCAAGCTGCATTTGTGGGCATTCTCCTCTGCGAATTGTCAATAATTGATAGCGTTTATAAATTATTTTGTGTGTATGTTCTGGGCTCATAGGCATTTACACACATTACCCTGTCTGCTCACATGCTTTCCTAGTTCAGTGTCTGTCAATTTGTGTATCTTTGTGTCATTCTCTGTCCTTGCCTATTTATGGATGTCTATTTCACAGTAGGACCCTGTCTCATCATTTCCCTGTATAGCTGTAGGTCTATGTGAGTCACTCTACCTATAAGCTGTACGCGTGTTTCTGTGTCAGTCTCCGTTAGCGCGCGTGTGTCTCGTCTGTCCTGACATCGGCTCTCCTCTGTCTCAGCAACTGGTGGAGTCCCTGGAGCGGCTGAAGTCCCAGACCAAGGAGCTGAAGGACGCGCACCAGCAGCGCAAGCTGGCCATGCAGGAGTTCTCCGAGCTGAACGAGCGCATGGCCGAGCTGCGCTCCCACAAGCAGCGGCTCTCCCGCCAGCTCCGCGACAAGGAGGAGGAGATGGAGGTGGTCATGCAGAAAATCGACGCCATGCGACAGGAAATCCGAAAGACCGAGAAGGCCCGCAAGGAGGTAACCCCCCCGTGGGGAGCCGGGCGTCAGGGCGGATTACACTCTCCGAAATCCCGTTAGCTCCTGAGTGCTCCCCTCGCCCGCATCCAGGAATCCTAAACATTTCACATTTACACAAGTTGTTTTTTTTTTGTGTGTAGTATTCCCTGAAGGCACATATCTCCTGCTCCCAGTGACGCTGTAGAAACAAAAGCGAGACTCGTGCTTCCCCGGTGGAATGCGCTGTCTTGTGTTGCTTTCACACCGCTGAGGGAGTGAGCTCTGCCAGGAGACAGGAGGCATCTGTGTTGAATAGGGTCTCCAGAGGCAACGTCAGGAATGTGGCCGTGTCTGTCTCCCCCTCCCCTCCCCTCCCCTCCCTTCCCCTCCCCTCATCTTGGGCCAGGCCAAAGACCCAACCCCCCCTGGATCTCCACACCTAACCACGTCCAGATGGGCAACACTGACCTTCGCACTGATGTGCCAGATAGGAATTCACTGCCCTGTGCCGCGAGTGGAAGGAAGGGTTAACCCCTGCTCTGCATTCGCTAGTGACAGGAGGCAATAAATATCCCCATCTCCCTCCTCTAGCGCTAACACACGTAGACACTCACAGAGCAGGGAGAGAGATGACTGTGTGGTTGAATTCTGACAGGGTAAATACGTTATTCGTAGTTGGGCGAGGAGCAGTGGATAGGGTCTGACATCATGAAAAATGAGACAAATGTCTTCCAGCTGCCACTAGGCTGTAGACAGTCATGTTTTCTCAAGACAGTTTTCTTGAGACAGCCAGTTCTTTAGAAGTGGACATCTCATATTGAGGTGTTGAGGCGGAGCTCATTGTGCATTTCAGAAAGTACTTATATCTGGTGGCACCTTGTAGAGAGATGCATTTGTATGCAAACTCAAGTGTTTCCCATATCCCAATAGGAGGCCGTAGAAAGGCCTGTGATCTGTGTCGTCATTTGCATTTGTTGAGAAAGTTGTGTTGGCTGCGCAGAGGTGAGAGGAGGTAATGCTGCATTCTGCTGTTCCCGTCGCAGCTGGAGACGCAGCTGGAAGACGCCAAGGCCGAAGCGTCCAAGGAGCGCAAGCTGAGGGAGCACAGCGAGAGCTACTCCAAGCAGCTGGAGAGCGAGCTGGAGACACTCAAGGTCAGAGACCCCTGCCCCCTCCGCCCAACAGCCTGTCATATCAGCCAGGGAGGGGGGGGGTCTCTAACTGCCAATCGGAAACAGCTCGCTCTGTAGCGGAGCGACCGTAATCCCCGTCTCAGGACGTGCTCACCCGGGATTGCCACAAGAAAGGGATTTGGGTTTAGAGTATGGAATTTCCATGGAGAATCAAGGGGTCTTAACTCACACACTTATTAGCCTGTGTTAATAAATTAAATAACACAGTTCTGTGTAAACTCACTGGGGATGATTATGAACAAAGGAAAATCTCAGAAGTGAAATCCATTGTGTCCACTGTTTCGCCTGTGCTTTCTGAGTATTCGGGTTTTTAAATGGGAAAATTAAGTAAAATTTGGTTCCATTAAAAAAAGAACAGGCATTTGTATCAGAGAAAATTGTGATAAAAGAGCCATATTTATGTAGCTAGCTAGATAGTAAGATATCCACATAACTAAATTGTTTTGTTTAAGTGATTACATTATCATTGCAGAATTCCAAACTCTTATGACGCAAAGCACACTTTTTTGCCTTTTCTCATCGTGGACATTACAGCTTATGCAGCTTGGTAAGGACAAGATGGCTAAGCAGAGCCATGTGTCCTTGTTAATGACTCTGTAACAGTGTGTCTATGTGTATCGTTCATCAGCCACAGTCCGCTTCCTGCTGTGTAAATTTGGTATGAAAACAGGAAATTGGGTTGAAGGAGTCCGGTGACGGACTAGATTAGATATAAATTTGGAAGGACTTTGTTTTGATTCGAATGTGAGCAGGGCTTGGCTTAAGGGTGACCGGAGCGGTGACGGGCGCTGGTGCTGTTTGCTCCCGGTCTTATTGATGTGACTGTCACGGTGTAGGGCTCCCTGAGTGACAGTTGGGAGGAAGGAGCACTGCATAGCGGCGCGTGCAGTGTGTTTGCGCTACAGCCATTCATAGTGATTTATGATTCAGTACTTTCCACGAAAGTGATTTGCTGGCATGTTACCGTGGGGCTTTTCTGTGGAGCAGCCACTGTGCGGCACCGCGACCGAGCCCTCCTGAGATGACACGCGGGCACAGCCACGTGCGTGGAGTGAGGGCCGGGGTCTCTACGGCCGCGGGGGGGGTGCTGTTATGTTTAGGGAACAGAGGGGCTCGGTCACGTGTGGGGGGCGGCGCCGGGGTGAACGTGCGCGCCAGGCCCGGGCCCTGCTGTGCGGAGCAGGCCATGCGTGAGACTCAGACAGCCCGGCGGGGGACGCAGAGCCCGGCCTGGCCTCTGCGCGCGGGGAGACAGCAGCTGCAGGAAGCGGACAGGCTGCGGCACGCTCTGCAATGCAAACACCCAGCGCTGCACGCGCTCTCAGAACCCACCGCCAGCCAGCACTCCAGCTGCTTACAAACCTGGAACCCAACGAAAACCTGAAATTGTTTTTCAAAGGCATCTATCCAGTGTATATTTTAAGGTTTTCTAAACACTCAGTAGTCACATGTTCATTTACATGGTGATGTAAAATTTGAATTAGTTTCTCTGTAACCTTCTGGTTACAGGTCCTGCTCCGTAAACACTATGCTACACTTCTCAGGCGGCAGTGTAGCATAGTGGTTAAGGAGTAGGACTTGTAACCGTAAGGTTGCTGGTTTAATTCCCCACCAGGGCACTGCTGCTGTACCCTTGGGCAAGGTGCTTAACCCACATTTGCCTCAGTAAATATCCAGCTGTATAATGGATAACATAACCAATGTAAGTCGCTCTGGATGAGAGCGTCTGCTAGATGCCAGCAATGTAAAATAATGTCTGTAGGCCCTGACTCTGCTCCCTCTCCCCTTGCCCTGTGCGGGTGTGTGCAGGTGAAGCAGGGCAGCGGCCGGGTGGCGGGCCTGAGCGCAGAGACCCAGCAGGAGCTCTCCAAGGTGAAGTCGGAGCTGGATAAGAAGGTCCTGTTCTACGAGGAGGAGCTGGTGCGCCTGGAGGCCTCCCACTCCACCGAGCTGAAGAACCTGCGCAAGGAGCTGCAGGACTCGGAGGGCCAGCAGCTCTCGCTTCACAAGGAGGTGCTCATGCTGAAGGACAAGCTGGAGAAGGCCAAGAGGGAGCGGTAAGGGCCCCCGTCACACTGCAGCGGCTCCACAGCCTGTAGTATTGCAGCTCACTGCTGATGAGAAAGCGTGGGTCAGGCACTGAAAGACACATGTAGTCTGACCTTTTCAGCTCAAAGAGTTTAAAGATGGTAAAGGTGACAGAGGGAATAAAGGGACCATTGTTCATAGGTTAATTACTGCCCAATGTGTCTGTGTGTATGTCCATAAGCGGCTCTTCTGTAGTGTGAGTACCTGTATGGTGAGGTGTGTGTGTCTGTGTGTGTGTCCATGAGCGGTTCTTCTTTTGTAGTGTGAGTATCTGTATAATGGTGTGTGTGTCTGTGTGCAGGCAAAGCGAGATGGACGAGGCGCTGAGCGCTCTGAAGGACAAGTACGAGCGGGAGCGGAGCATGCTGACTGAGGAGAACCGCAAGCTGACCAGCGAGTCGGACAAGGTGAGCAGGGGCGTGGGGCACAGTGCAGGGTGCGGGGCCAGTGGCACATGCAAGAACCGCTGATTCTACTCTCCCCTTTGCAGCTCTGCACGTTCGTGGACAAGCTGACCGCTCAGAACCGGCAGCTGGAGGACGAGCTGCAGGACCTCTCCGGCAAGAAGGAGAGCGTAGCGCACTGGGAGGCGCAGATCGCCGAGATCATCCAGTGGTGAGTGAGTGAGTGTGTGTGTGTGCGTGTGCGTGTGCGTGTGTGTGTGTGTGCGTGTGTGTGTGTGTGTGTGTGTGTGTGTGTGTGTGTGTGTGTGTGTGTGCGTGTGCGCGCGCGCGTGCCCTCTGCCTCAGCGAGGTCCCCGCTGCCATCGCCCCTCCCCGGGTGTGTCCCCCCTGCCATCACCCCACCCCTAAACCACTTCAAATAAACAGCACTGCAGCTGTGAGGCAAGGGATATATTCACACGCTGAGTCGCTTGATTATTTCCCTGTGTTAGCATTATAGAGACTTTACCTCAGCTCAAAGGAAATCCCCCTCTGTTTGAGCTGCATACATGTTTTCAGCTGGGTTTTCATTTATTTTAACCATTTTAATTACAAGGATAGATGTAACACTCAGTGCCTGAGCACACACAATGCTGACCCCAGATTAACCTGAGCTCTGGTTCTCACACAGCTTAGTGTGTGCTGTGTCAGCCTTTGTGTGTGAGCCTCTGTATGCGTACGTGTGTGTGTGTGTGTGTGTGTGTGTGTGTGTGTGTGTGTGTGTGTGTGTGCGCATGTGTATATATAGTTTGTGTGTATGTATGTGTGTGCCTGTGTGTGTGTGTGTGTGTGTGTGTGTGTGCGCATCTGTGTGTGCCTGTGCATCTGTGTCTTTGTCTTTGTGTGTGTGTCTGTGTGTGACAGTGTTGCGTCGCCCTGCAGGGTGAGCGATGAGAAGGACGCCCGGGGCTACCTGCAGGCCCTGGCCTCTAAGATGACGGAGGAGCTGGAGTCACTGCGCAGCTCCAGTCTGGGTTCCAGGCCCATGGTGAGGACCCCCAGCACATCTCTACCTTCCCCTCCCCATACCACACCACTCCGACTGGAGGTCCTGTTCTTTACAGCAGGCCTCTGCAGTCCCCTGAGAGCAGAGCTGCTTCTGTCACCAGTGTCCGTGCAGCACTGAGGCAGTGTGGTAAAGCACAGAGCTCATGTTTATTTCGATTACCTGCACCCGATGAGATGCACAGTGGAAGTGCACTGTCACTCTCTGAAACTGAAAACTTACAGTGCTGTGCTCTTAGAGGGCAATCCTGTGTTTCTTCACTGAAAGTTGTGTGCATGTCTGTAAATCTTTATTATCTCAGTTGCCACCCCAGCAAGGTTCAGGAGTAAACAGCCCCTTTCAGAGGTCCATGGTCCCCCATGGGGGGGACAAGCTGGTGAGTGCGTCCCAAAATCACCCTCCTAAAATCAACGCAGGAGGAAGCGCTGATTCTCCATGGGCCATACAGGAGATATCGTCTGCTGCCTGTCATTTCAGGTTTCAGTTCTCATCTCAATCATTAGCGCTCAAATGATTTGTCTTCGCCCAGGAAATCCATTAAGCAGCACTTCTCACTGAAACTGAACAAGTGATGATTATGGAATAATTATGGCAGTGCTTAGCTGAAGGAAGGAGCCTAATCATGCTGTGCTGGCTGAGAAATTGGAGCTGAGACATTAGGTCAGTGTTACCCCTGACAGATGGTGTTGGAGTTTTTTGATATTGCTTCGTCACTCTGTGGACTACATCATTGTAGTTTTGGTCAAGAGCTCCACTAATTTTATGTGCAGCGTTGGTCTCTTAATGCTGCAGAGAGGAGAAACATTAACTATTGTTTATGAAGCTTTGACACTTGGAGCTTTGTCTAAAAAACCCAAAATATTACATTTACATTTACATTTATTTATTTGGCAGACGCTTTTATCCAAAGCGACGTACAAAAGTGCAAATAGTGAGCAAACAACAGGCACAAGAGCAAGATGTGTAAAGGTCATATAATGCAAATAGTGCTGAAGCTGAGCGCAAGGTCAGTGACGCGAGCCAACTAATCTGAACTAGGATTGCATCTCAAATACAATTACAGAAAGAAAAATGGAGTACCGCTATATTACCTAGACAAGCGAGCAACAAGTACAAGGCAGGAGTCAGAGGGAGGTATCAGTCCAGGTAGAGTCTGAAGAGGTGTGTCTTCAGCGCACGTCTGAAGGGTTGGATTGATGGAGTTGTTCTTAGGGGGGTGGGGAGTTCATTCCACCACTGGGGGGCGATGATGGAGAAGCGTCGTTGTGAGGAGCGTGGGCCTTTCGTACTATTGGTGGGTGGAGCGAGGCGTCCGGATGTAGCAGAGCGGAGTTGACGAGCGGGTGCATAGGGCAGGATGAGGTCCTGGAGGTAGGTTGGGGCAGTCTTTCTTGCAGCGGAAAAGGTGAGAGTCAGGGTCTTGAAGCGGATTCTGGCTGCGATTGGGAGCCAGTGGAGGGATCTCAGTAGGGGGGTGACGCGGGAGAACTTGGGGAGATTGTAGATCAGCCTAGCAGGTGCGTTTTGGATGAGCTGCAGCGGTTGAATGGTGCAGGCTGGGAGGCCTGCGAGGAGGGCGTTACAGTAGTCCAAGCGGGAGAGCACAGTGGCCTGGACGAGCAGCTGGGTGGAGTAGGTGGTCAGAAAAGGGCGAATCCTCCTGATGTTGTAGATGAGGAATCGACAGGAGCGTGCCGTCTGGGAGATGTAGTCGGTGAAGTCCAGCCTGTTGTCGAGGGTGACGCCCAGGCTCTTCACCGAAGTGGAGGAAGTTACTGTGGTGCCGTCAACAGTAACTGAGAGCTCTTGAAGAGGAGAGGTCCTGGCCGGGATAAGCAGCAATATTACAGACAATAGTTAACTCCTGTTCAGATTTATAAGTGCTATGGAGGGTCTGTCATTCTGCTCTGAAAAGCCATTGAAATCAGAGACTTGCAATGTGTAGCACGTGTCTTTCCCTCATGCATGCAACATTGCAAATCATCTTTCATATAACCCAAAATATAGAGCAGTGATGAAGCTCAGACTGCTGGTAGCACAGATTTTGTCATTTCTCCATCTGCCAGAGATGAGATTTTATGCACGAGAAACCTTGATCTGCACTGAATTGAAAACATTATCTTGTGTCAGGTTATCTAAATGTATATCAGAAATGGCTGCAAGACAGACTCGGTGTGAAATGGAAGGTTATGTCAGATACCTCTCCATGGTTATCAGGAAAACTGTGATTGCCAGATCAGAAGGCTGGAATGTGTTGTCATGGGAGGCTGTGCTGGTAGTCGGGGAAGAGGAACAGCTGCCAGGCGGTGCATGGCTTTGGTACAATGGCTGCATTAACAGCAGAGGCCGTGCATGTTAGATTAAGATTTTGATTATCATTCCAGTCTGTCAAGCCAGTGGCATGTCTGTTTGTCCAACATCACTTGGTTGATCTGTCTCACTGACCAGCACGCATCACACAGAGGCTGTTACCCCATGAACCCAGAGTTTACAGAGTCACCAGCGCCTGTTACAGGGAACCTGTCTGGGATATGTAATTACCCCCCCTGAGTTCTGTTTCTGCTGTGACATTGAGTTGTTCAAGACTACCTGTTAATTTGCTGAATATGTCCACTTTGCCAGTTCAGTGATCCTCCCTTTCTGAAAAAAATCAATTTTGCGTTCTGCCACTCTGTTGGTGATTTCCTTTCTCTTGTGAAATAAAAAAAGGTCATTTTGGTCTGATGATGCTCCAGCGTTCTCTCTCCATCGGCTGCTATGTCACGACTGCCATGTTGCGCATGTAATTTGGCAGCAGCTGCAGCCGTTGGACTCCTGCCACACCAGCCAGTTCTCCGTTAATCATTGCCTGTGTGACAGTGGTGCCCATGCTCCCAGCCCTCGGAGTCCATGGGAGGAAATAAGAGCTTTTCAAGTGCGTGGATTGAGGTGTGGGAACGCCACTCAGATTGAAGCTTTTGGTGTTATTCGAATCAAAGCAAAGAGAGAAATCAGTCAGATCTGGCGTGTGATGTTCCCGGGGTGGTGAACATCACTGTGAGGACACAGCCCCCCTCACAGATTTTGCCTGTGTGACATGGCTCTGTGT